TATATGCGTGATTGGATAAGAAAATAATAGGGAAACCCCGTGTAGGCAATTTATCCTCATTTTCCAATTCAATAGTTAACCTAGTATTTGGCATCTATTCTATTTATTGGCTCAAGAAATTCATCTAAACTATCTTTACCGTGTTTCCAAACAGCAAAGTAATCGTCTACATACCAAACGAATAGCTTTGGAACTAGAAATGCCTTTTGAAACACATGAATTTCTAATTGGGCCATGCAGTTATTAGACAAAATAGAAATAATAGACGATTGCAAGAGGAGATTTGCAGGTAAGTTTCGATATAGTGTCTATGTACACTAATATTCTGATAAACTAGGCAATGAAGGCCTTATAATTAGCTCTAGATCAACATACTGAGAGCATAATAGATGAAAATTTGGGCAAATATTCGATCATTAGATTAATCAACTTGGCCATTTGCATATTTTATCTTTAATGGTAAGTTGTATGAGTAAATACGGGGCTTGGCTATAAGATCTTGTTTAGCGCCTATTTAAGTTAATAGCTACATGGCTCAACTAGAAGTTCGTATAGGAAACTTTTACACACCGATTTCCTTATTAAAATAGGAGTTATGAAATCACTGAAAATAAGGAATTTTCGTCTAGAAGACGTAAATTACAGATACAAGGATATTGGTAGCTTGAGGCATATATTTTTCCTTCATAATTAGGATTTAGATACTACCAGTAAATCATGTATATAAAACATCTTCACCATGTTTCGTTTGATGTGATGAAGGAATGGTAGTTAAATGATCACACAATTATATCAATAAAGCTTATGTTTCCACTGAAATTCACATAGCCTTGCTTTCCTTGCTCATGTTGTACTGTCTTTGGGGTAGACATGCCGACTCATCCAGAAAAGACTGGGAGCGCAAAACCGCTTGTAAAGGATTATGGCTAACACAGAACACTCAATAGACTTGCCAAAAATACGTTTTGATTGTTACGGTAACTGCACATCAAAGCGTAAAATCTGGGAGTCTATAGAAATTAACAAAATAGTCAACGTATTGAATGGGAGGAACGAGTGTAGAAAATTGAGTAAGAAGTATTTGTTGCTGTCGGATAGGCTCAAGGAGATGGAGAGAGAGGGAGAGCAGGAAGAGCCACTAGGCAAGAAGAGTATGGATTAGCCTCGGGTCTAGCTATGCCTATCATACCTTTGATGACATGAGCATTACATGCACACAATAGACAATAGCGCATCCAAAATTTGGTCATCATTAGAGGATCGTTCGTTAGTTTATTTTTGTAAGGAAACAGCTGCCATCAAATCCACTTTGGGTTCATGATTTGACTTAACTCATCTGCAAGCATGTGGAAAAAGTTTAAGGTAGTAGTGGTCTGACCTTTTTTTTATAACTTGGTCATGTCATCAGGACGACTTAGTTGAACTCACCTTATCAGAAATCCTCAGCTATAGTAGTTGTCTTGGCCCTTGTCTTGGTACATTCTCAGACGTTTCGCCGGCATCATCAGTGCGTCTTGCCACTCTCAGTACCAAGCTACAACTCGCCAAACAGACAAGTGAAGTCAATCCCCTGACCAACTTTCTGCCGAAATGGCCCAACTATCTCACTCACGCCCTATCACAACGTCTGACTTATTTATATTTATCCTCCAAAGGTCTGCCATTTTTGGTGAGTTCACCTTGGCGTCGGACTCGGGCCTCCAATCCGGATCTGCCTCATGGGCCCGTTGATCAGTCTCTTATCCTTCTGGTTGACCGATTTCACTTGGTTCCAGTCCCAGTGTACGTTTAACTCTAGGTGCTATTCCTCAAGCCTTTCGGTGCACGAACACTGTCGCCTCATCGAGCAGAGCGCCTAGGCCCTAATTTTCATGCTTGCAGATATTAGGCATTGCCTCCACACTGACTCCTTCCAATCTCCTTTTCCTTAAATTTATTTCTTTAAAATGTCATGGCCTCCATAATCTTTGGTTTCCTTGTGTTTTCACTATATGAGGCCCATCTTTCTGTTGCCTTCCAATTGACCTCGTGTCCTGTCTATGTGAAGTGTTCCGCTATTTCTGATCTTTCAGTATCCATTTTCTTTGATGTTTCCTTATTCATATGCTAATTTTTCCCCTGATTCGTCAAAATATTTCTTATGAAGAGTGTTGATTTTTCCTTTATATTATCCTGAATATTCCATTTTATTAATATTGGCCATAATTTTTGACCTAGCTCGCAGGAATGGAGGCAGATCTACTTTTGTGAGTCTTTCTCCATCTTTACCTTCATTTCATAATCCCCATCCTGCCATCGGCTCTTCACGTCCACTATGTTTCTTTACATTACTTTTCTCGGGTATCCGTTGCCGAGGAATATCCGAGTCAAGTTTTCCTATTCTTCGTCCCAAAATTACAGGTGCGTTAATCGTAGACTTCTCATGATCATGCTCCTCAGTATTCCTACCTTTATTTTGTAGTTGTAATTAGACTTGAAATTGATTATTATTCCGGCATATGACTTCTTTCGGAACAATTTTTTCTTGAGTGTCCCATTAAATTAAATGACTCCAACAACTAGGAAAGGTAAATGACCCTCTTCCTCTACTTCCATCGTGAACTTCATTCCTACATCAATCCGGTTTATAAACTTCAGGAAGATCTCCCATTTTTCTCTTTCATGCGACCAAATTGAGAAGTCATCATCCAGATACCGCATAAGAACTCTTGGTTGCAGTGGTGGAGTCTAATGTCTAATTTCTTCTAAATTTTTTATATAGACTCAAGGATAGAGAGGATGCTGAGGCGCCTGCAAAAAGGAGGCGACTCAACTAGTCTTTTCTTATTTTTCGTGTTTCCTTGTCTTGGTTCTAATCACAATCATTCCTCTGTACTTTTAGCTT